AAAATACATTTTTAATGTGTACATGAAATATATACTAAATATATTAATATACTAATCCCTTAACGAATTAGACCATTTTGGTACAGTTGTGCACAGGCGCGATTGGCTAAGCGCTGGCATTAGCGAACAAAATAAAAAAGAGTAAAAAGTAGGAAGGTAAAACCTAAGCCACAACCCCAAACACCATTCAGAGAGTATATCAGTTAGGTCGCAGGTCGCTCTGGGCAAAGGGGGCGAAAGGGTTTTTTGGGTTTTGGCATTATATGCGGGCAGGGTTTGATAGGCGACCTAATCAAAAGTAATTCGGTAAATTAAACAAACAAGGCGGACAGATGATATATACCCTATATAGCCATATGTATATGGAAACATATATATAAATATATTTGTATAGATATGGCATATAGTGGAGTGAAGCATAATGGGAAATCAAATAGAAATTTCCAAAACTATTCCACTCCACTTTTTCCATGGAAAGGCGAACCTCGGGGCAGGAGCAAACGTGCGAGCGGGCAGATATGGCAATCTTGCCGGCTGCTTATCGGCGTGCGCAACATAATGTGGCAGCAGGTAAACGCTGATAAGGCCACGTTGCCAGGAGGCCAGGAGCAGGGGACGCCGCCTCACAGCAGATAAGCCAAACGAAGGCAGCCAGGCTGTTGCCATTGCTGGTGCCGCTCCTGAGCGGCTGCTGCTGCCGCTGCCGCTGCCGCTGGTGCTGCTGCCCGTGCTTATCACAATTTAAATATTAATTTAGGGATATGAGCAAGAGAGACATATTTACGTGCAGCCGACGGCGAAGCCGATGGCTTTGGCTTTGGCTCTGACTCTGCTCAGTTTGCTTATCGTCGCATGCAAACAGCCCAAGCAAACAGCCAACCGATATGGAGCGCAATACTCCCAACTCTATAGGCATATAAGTATATAACTAGGAATTTTATATATGTTTATACATATGCCTAACATATGGTTTGGCATGGTCCATGCAGAGGCTATGGGTTCGTTACACACCGGAAACGTTGCACACAGCAGCTGCAGTTGGCTGTCGATTCACGTAACCGCCTGCCACGCCTACTGTTATACTCTATAAGCTCTACGTGCTAATCAAACTGTTTTGCAGAAATTCACTTGACTCACCAGCGATTTTCTTGTGGCGCCATCAACGTCACCGCCAGCGCCAGCTTCGCTAATTTTCTGGCTGGTCTTCAGTGTTGCAAGCTGCTTGCGTAGTGTGGCAATCTGTTGAGGCAAGTGGCAAAATGTTAAATGTTGTGTGTATATGTCGAGGGGCGCACAGCCCAGGCAATTGTGTGTTGGCCGGAGTGCGCAGGAGCCGTCTGCAGGAAGTCCCACAAGTGCAGCTTCTGCAGCTTCAATGGAGGAACAACAGTAGCAGCAGCAGCAGCCGCAATAGCTACAGCAGCAAATGCTCTCGGCCATGCATGCGGCAATTGCATTAGATTGCTGCGTTTCTCACAGCAGCAATCCGTATGGCCAACGGAGCTATGTAGATTGTCCCGGACACTCACCTCACGGTCCTTGTCTTCGCATGATTTTTCTAGCTGCTCTTTCAGCTCCTGTGTCTCGGCCAGCAGCTCGACGGCCGTCTTAGTGTTTAGGTCAGGTCCGCGGTATTCATCGTCGCCGGGTCCGGCTGTGTCGGCCAACACCTCCTGGGCCAAGTGCGTCAGTTGTCCTTTGATGGTGACGAGGCTGTTGTTTAGCCACGACATGCTGCCTGCTGTCTGCGTCCTGTTGATCAACGCTCTCTGGCTCAATGTCCTATATTTAACTTGATTCTATATTCCTTAGATTAAAAAATAACTAATTTATAATTTTGCGTGGCACAAGAGCTGCTTCAGCTGATTATTGTTATTGTCATCGCTAGTATCGATAGGTTTGCTTACGATATATCGTCGTGTGCCTGACAAAATACTGGATGCTGTGAGGCACAGATGCCAACTTTTAAGCTTTTCTTACGCCAAATTTGGCTAGGCTTAAAAGCTTCAAAATTTAAACGAATCTATAGTGGAATAGAAAAGGATATATATCTAAATATGATATATTGAATATGTGGATGAGGAATATATACAATAAGATGCAAAGCTGTAAACAAGCTCTAGTAAGTATAGTATTCTTCTTTGCCAAACTTTCGCTAATTCTATTTAGAAATAGTAACAGAATTCTTATTGGAAAAATTCAATTTCATATCCCCATTATCGGGTTTTCCTGTTTGTAACTAGCTTAACCAATAACTAATCAATATATTCAACATGCTCCTATATTTGAACAAATTAGCAATTGGCATTGGCGGCAAAACGTAGTTCCCCTCTTCTTTTCAATCAACACATGCGTAGTAAGGGAGAGAGTGAGAGAGAGAGCGCCAGCAATCGAACTATCGAAACGTTATCATAATTATTCCGATAATTCTTGTTCATCACTAGTCGCGGCACTATTTACTTATATGTATGTACATATATGTATATATAAACACACACATGACAACTTAGTAAATAGAAATGAATAGAACCGTACAACCTCGGATATTAATAAGTTCCTTAAAAGTGAGTAATGCATAACTAAAACTATTTTGGATTTAATTGATAACATTCATACCCATTGTCATTAAGCACTGGCCACGCCGCTATGCAGCTGACCAAGCAGAGGCACGGCCTAAAAAGCATTCGGCGTGCATTGGTCTTACACAACCACCGGATCCGCAGTCGGTGAAAACGGACTATATTGGCCCGCCAGATCCGATATCCAATTTACGTCCCTATGTGCGGCATTACGATGCGAATGAAACGGAATTAGCTAAGAAATTACGTTTGCTACGCATCGAAGTGGAAAAATGGAATATGAATTTCTGGACGAAGCACAACTCGCGGTTTTATGAGGTTTGTTATAACAGCTCTCGCAAGGGAGAGTGAGAGAGTAAGAGAGAGACAGACATACCGTAAGAGAGATGTCTAGACATTACGTCTTTTTCTTCTATCTCTCTCGCTCCATGGCTCTCTCTCTCATTTATATTCATGTTTCTTGATTTCATTCCAGGAAAAAGAGGACTTTATAAAACTACACAAACTCAGCGGAACCAATGAAATTAGCGCCGATCAAATGAGTGTTTTTTATAAATCATTTTTAGATAAAAATAGACGCATCCATATAATGTACAATATTTCATGGTATTTGAAAAATTTCGAAATGCTCACGTTAGCCTTTGCCGTAGAAGTGGAAAAGTTATTAAATCGACTTAGGAAAAAGACGTAGCAATCCCCATTCAGCACAATCAACAGACAAAAAAGTTTTTAACTTTAAACAAAAGTATATATATATACACATCGATTTACATATATACTTTATATGTATATATATGTAAATATATATATA